CAAATAAATCAAAAATTCAGGTCAAATGTTAAATCCCTTGCCATGTAAGCATGACATGGCAATTTTTTGCCATCCAAGCAGCCAAGGGGGGTGTGTCCTCAACGGCAGTTAAGTCAGGCCGGCAGTCCCAAACGGCAGTTAAGTTGGCGTAAGAAGAAGGGCTTAATTGCTTTGATCCCCGAGTTCAAGGGCTTATATGCATCAATTACAGTCTAGGGGCTTAATAGCGATTCTGGGGTTGGTTCAGGGGCTTAACTTATGGTTTTGCCATATTTTGCTATCATGGGACCCCTGAGGTTTGCTTTCCTAATTAATTAGAATAATAGTACTAGATTCCTTCAACCTTACTTTAATTTTTAATTTAGGCATTTAAAATTAATTGTTTATTTTTTTCTTTTTAATATTTCATTTAATATGTTTATTTATAATTTATCCTTATTTTAAGAAGAAAATTACAACATCATTATATTAAGATTGCTTATTTAAGCAATATTTAATTAAAAATAAATATAAAATTCTATCAATTAATTATTATATTCATATTTTATTTTATATTGAAGAAAATAATTAGACTAATGAAATCAAACAAGGGAGTTGTATATACACAAAAACTTTAAATAATTATTTTATTATCATGTAAAGAGGATAGTGACCATTCGTCTTAATTATTGAAAAATTAAAAGTTTGTTTAGTTTAAGAAGAGGGGGAGGAGAGGAATTTTTTTTGGAAAAATTCTCTTTATAATTTTAGTTTAAAAACAAGGGGTAGGAGTGGGGACTGGGAAGTCCTCCCCTATTCTCCCTTAAACGTGAGAAATTTGTTCTCTTTTACTCTTCCAGCCGACCTGAAATAAAATTCATTATTCACATGATCATTTGGGCCGTGAAGACCCACCACATTGGGTCTGCAAATGGCATGGTCAAGTCAACAGGGACCTACCATCTTTTGTGGGTCTGGAAAACAGGGAAAGCAAAGTTAAAATTGGCCCAAGGTCTTGATGTATATTTCACAATTTTCTATGCCTTCATGCCTTGACGATATCAGAGGGCTGCTGGTGCTAGCAACTATGATCCAATTTTTTTTTTTTTTTAAAAAAGATTTTCTTTTGCAGGTCAATAATTGACTATACAGGGAATAAGAATATTGTCCATATGCTATACTTTCAATAAATTAAAAATAAAATTACCTTAAAATTATATTATTTTAATTAATTTACTATAAAAAAATAAAATATCTTATTTTTAAAATATAAATTAGACTATTTTTTATTTTTTATGTTATTTTATTATAATAATATAATTTTAAAATAATTTTCTTTTTAATTTTCAAAAAGTATGATAGATAAATATTAATTTAATAGATATATATGAGAATAGTGTAAAACATGTCTTTTTTTTTTTTTTAGGAGGACTTGCCTAAAATTCTACATTCTAATTAATATTTTTAAAAATCAACTATTAAGTTAAAAATTTTATTTATATAAATCATGCATGTCAATTTTTATATTGATTTAACACTTATAACCCTTTAATGGAAGTAATTTTATTTACTAACATATATTTAACGATATTTAATTTTTTATAATTAATAAAGTGGTTAATCATACTAGATTAATATGAAAAAAAATATATAATCTATATAAATAAAATTTTTAATCCAACAGTTAATTTTTAAAATATAAATCTAAAAATAAGATTTTAGATATATATTTAAAAAAAAATTTGAAAGTACTTTTTCATATACACACACACATATACTAAGAAAATGTGCGTCAATCCTACCTCCAAAAGAAAACTAGAGTCCCAAACTAAAATGGTGTCATTCTTCTTAATCCTGGCCTATTGTTTTTCGCCCCTTGTGGAATCATCTCCATCTTCATCTCCCTCGCCTCCTCGACTCCTTTGACTCTTTTGAAATCATCTCTATCTCCATCTCCCTCGTCTACTGTTTTTTGTCCTTTCTGGAATCATCTCCATCTCCCTAGCCTCCTCAACTCCTTCGATTCTTTCTATTTTTTAAACACAATTCTACGTCATTGACTTAATCCCCAGCACCCACTATTTTCACCCCATTCTACCGTTGCAATTCATGATCTCCATCGACTGAAATTGGCTTAGTACTATACAATGTAAATTGGCTTATTTAATTCGAATTCATCAAAACCAAAAATCATCAATCTAGAGACCTAAATTCAAAAGAGCGAGACAAATTTCGTAAAGCCACAATTATCTCTCATTTTGCAATAAGAACAAAAAAAAAAAAGGAAAAAAAAAAAAGAGCAAAAAATAAATAGTTCTATCAATGGAACATGAACCATCTTCATCTTCTCTGTGAAGCGATTTTAAATATTAACATCTTCGATGATCTTCTTAATATCATCATCTTTGATGAAAGATGGAGAGATCAAGCGTCAATCTCTGTAACTTGATAAAATTTAGGTTTCTGATTATTTACATCATCAAATTTTAACAATCTTTGTTGCTTTGACCACAAGATTTTCTCTAGCAATTGCCTCCCACTTGATGGCCTTGTAATTGTAGCTGTAATCGTGGGATTGTGTTTGAAAAATTGAAGAAATCAAAGGAGTTGAGGAGGCGAGGAGGTGATGGAGATGGTGGTGGTTTCAAAAGGGGCTGGGACTCAGAGAAAAGACGTCGTTTTGGTTTGAGACTCTAATTTTTTTTAAGATAAGATTGACACACACTTTCGCGTGTATATATATATATATATATATTATTTTTTAAAATAAAGTAAACGGTTGGACTTATGGAAAAAATAGGAACATGATGCATGTGGTAATTTATTCCTAGCTTATATCATTGATATGGATTTCAAACTGACACACTTTTGTAGAGCAAAGGCATTTCAACGCAAATACTTGCTCCACCCATACAAATATATTATTATCCCAAAGTTAACTTTACCCACAAAGCATGGTGCTTAAATTTCATAATTTGTTACAAAGTCATTATATTTCAACGGGTAATCTTGGTATTCCCGGGTAGGTGAGACCTGAGATCGATCCATGGTAAGCAGTTTGCTTTCAATGGGGTCTGGACAAATGACTCTCAATCTTTCTTTTGCTTTAATCTGGTTTTGCTTTGCTCCCCAAATTAATCTCCTGGATTCTTCTTCAAGAAGATCAAATGTATGGTTACCTACCTCATTCCTATCTTACAAACACTGCCAAGTGTCTCAAATCTCATCTCTTTGATTTTTTTTTTTTTTTTAAGTTCACTTTGGTTTAATTGATTAGAAACAAGTTGATAATTAACAGTAATTGATATCTTATTATTGATAGTTATTTATAATTTAAATATTTTTATTTATCTAATTAAAGAATTACTAATAACTATTTTTAAACAGTTAAATTAAAATAAAGTTTAAATATTTTAAATTTATTGATTAATAAGGCAATAAACAAAATTATTGTAAACTATGGGAATATAATATATCCTCCAAGATTGTAATTTTATTAATATAACAAGAAAGATTATTGTAGATAAAAAATAGTTGGGGCAGGCTTGAAAATGGTAAGAGAAGGAGGCTATGTCACATAATTACGTGCAAAATAAAAATCTTTGGTAAACGAATGGTTTTCGGCCGTCAAATTCTTGTCAAACAATACGTAGACGATAAGGGTAGGCTACCAACCATTCGTTAAACATCCAATTTACAATTTCTCCCTGAGCAATGCTAGGGGCACTCGCTTTTCTCACTCTCCGGCCAACACTTCCCCTTTCATTGGGCCACGTAAGCTTCTTTAAAGATTTCAGCGCAACTTCTCGGGAACCAAGATAACGTGGCCCAATAAAAGAGAAAGTGTTGACCGGAGAGTGCCAAAAGCGAGTGCCCCTAGCATTGCTCTTTCTCCCTTCCTCTCTTACCATTTTCTCATCATGGACGATTCTGCCCTTCCCTTAATTCCCCTTTGGCCATCCACCTAGAAAGCATCAAAAGGTAAGACTGTAAATTCATGTCGTTGGCATGTCATACAACCTTATAAAGCAATAGGTTTAGCCCTGTTTCTTGCTCTCTCTTCCATCTCTTCTTTTGTGCAAGATTTAAGGAACAAAACACAAAGAAGATGAGCTACTTTAGCTGTTGCAGGAATATTGTGATGTCCATGTTGTTGGTGTTCGTTTTCTTCTTGTTCATCCACGGTTCCATGGCGGAAGATGAGAATGGGTTATTCAAGTCATGGAGCAAGAAGGAGATGCTGCAAATGGCAGGATATGGTGATGAGAAGCTATCAACCGTTCTAGTCACCGGCAGCGTTGTCTGCGAAGCTTGTTTGCAGGGAGAATCTCAACTTCGCTCTTGGCCCATCTCAGGTTTGCTTCTACCTATGCTATGGATATCAAAGCTTCTGTTTTTATGCAAATAACACCATAAAATTAATAAACCTCAGAAAACTCTAGTCTAAGAGCATCCATGTTCTGCAACATGAAGCTGTTTTCCTTATTAACAAGTTTTTTTTACCTTACATAGTGATTTTTCATGTTGTCTTGAAGTTTAAATCCACAGAAATGAGTCATATTAATTGCTTATTACCTAGCTGAATTTTCGTGTTTAATTCTCCCTTAAGAGGCCTTCTTCAATTCTCTATCGATTTTCGCTGTCAGATAGAGGTAGGAATGTGAAGCAATCTTCCTTTTTAGTATATGAAGCAATCTTGAGTGCAAAAGAAACGTGCCACATTTCAGAGAGGAGGTCATTAGCAAGTATTGGTGTGACGTTAAAACACACAAATTATTCAATTCTGGCTACTTTGAAATAAGGCAACACTCGGATTATGGATCTAATTAATTAACATGATTTTCTTTAAAGATCATTTTTGAGTTAATTTGTCGTGGTCATTATCAAAATTAACTTGGATGTTTTATCATTATGATTTATAATTACTCCAGGAATTTAATAATACTGAAAGCACCATTTCTAATGTTTAGCAGTCCATAAGACTTGAAAGAAATGAGATTACATATTGTATTTAATTTCAGATCATCACCCAGATGATATCGACTGCACGAATATCTTTTTCATGGGATTGATTATATTACACCCCACGAAAGAGGAACAAATAAACAGTTTTTTACGGTGCTTAATTAGTTATAGTAACTTTGATTTTAAGTATGAAATGTGGTTTAACTGTTTTCTTCATATTTGGTTTCTTCTGAATCTGAAACAGGTGCTTTGGTGGGTGTAAATTGCAATACTGGTCACAAGGGTAAACCGGGTGTGGCACAAGCTGTCACGGATGAGTATGGAGATTTCCTGATAGATCTTCCTTCCCACCTCCATGCAATTCCCAATCTGCACAAAACATGCTGCATAAGAGTTATTCGAGTACCGAAGAACACGCATTGCAGGCCAAGTTACGTGAGGAAACATGTGGGACTGAAATTCTCATCTGTTGGGAATGGTATCAGAACTTATACGTCTGGGAAGATCAGGTTCCAACATTTTGCGTCCAAACCTTCCCCAGCATGCATGAAAGAAGCAAACAGAGTGTACGGTAAATAGCTTGATCCATCCCCTGGCAACACAGAGGGTGGGATACCTGCATCATGGCTCAAGTAGATGGCGCTTCAGTCACAGCATGAGTTCCAAAAGCTGCTATCCCACGCTATTAGTTGTCAGATATAGTGTGCATGTGTGCGTGTGTGCGTGAGCTTGTGTGTGGGAGTGTAAATGATGCTATTTTGCTCTATTCGAGCTTCTGGGTAATGACAATTTGTATGAACTTGAGAAATGATATAGTGATATTTTGTATAGTGAGACAATTACTGCATGACAGTCTGAAATGGCTTAAAATGAACTAAATAAGGATAAGGCACAAATAGGGCAATGCTTAACGACAAAAGTGCTTCTACAGATTCAATAATCCATTACAGTTGCAGTAAAATGTTTGTAAAACAAACGCAGGGTGGAATAACTTCTTAATGTGCACCATAAATGACAGGCAAATTGTTCAAGGGATAGGCCCCAAACACATACTTGCAATGAAAATTCCTCATGACTCGGCAGTCTTGGACCTGGCTCCAGAAGCTATGAATTTTGCAACATCAGCACAACATGTAAGCTTATCTGCTTCCTCATCAGGGATCTCAATGGAGAATTCTTCCTCAATAGCCATAACAAGCTCGACCCTATCTAAACTATCCAGTGACAAATCCTTTTGGAAATCAGCTGTTTCTGTAACCTATTTTGATGGCCAGATAATTTTAGAATCTTGGATTGCTGTTCTTGGCAATATAAACGATATTAATAGCTAAAATTGTGTTTCATTCACTATTAAAAACAACTGCAGAACTGATTCTAGGGATAAGTTGTACTTGCATGAATCAAAATGAAACCAGAGTAGCTGAAGGTCTACAATAAAAAAACAACTATAAACAAAGCAAGTGAGAAACCTAAAAAGTAAAAAAAAAATAAAAATATCAGTACAGGTTCATTAGTTTATTACCTTACTGGAATCAATTTTATCATACTTCTTAACCAATCCAACCACTCGATCCATTATTTGATCATGGTTTGCACCTGTTGACAAACACATAAGTCGTTGCCTGAGCATGTTCCCTCTTTCAGTGTAAAACCATTGTTCTACCGACCCCCTCAATCTCATATGCCTCAGGATAGAATTTCTGACACTCTGCATGTTGAGTGAGTGGAGCTGAAAACCGAAAAAACCATATTTTGAACCCAAGAAACATAAAATTCAATCATTGAAGTATCGAGATCTACAAGAGGTTTGTGAATGGCAACAAGAAGCTTGTGAATGGCAACAAAAGGCTGGAGCAACTGTTTGCAGATAAGTAATCAACCACTATTTATGAACTTTAAAAGTACAATAATCAATAACAAAACACATAAACGCCTCTAAAAGAGCAGCTTATGGGGTCTTAAATTCACACATTCAAAATTGGTGGAGACACCACAAAGAAAACATGAGCATCAAAAGTACCAGGAATCCTATTCATTATGTTTTCTAGTGATCTATCTGTAAGCAACATACTTCTTGGGACCACAAAATGGGTCATGCTTACAATCAACACTTCGAGATAATTTCAAACATGTGGAGCATGTGAATTAACAATGGGATTATACTGTTGTTTCTTGTAAGTTATAACTGCCAATATTAACATACTGAGCAAAAAGTTCAATAAATAGGCACCATATACTCTGGAAGGTCATGACTCTAAAATTCCAAACAACGTATAATGGTAAGCTGAGCACATATTTAGATTTCAGACAAGGGTTTAAGCATTTTTTTTATTTTATTAATTATCAGCTTTCAAACTCTTTTCCTAGAATGGTGTTACAGGGCACATATAAAATCTTAAACACAATCCATATGTATAAACTAATAGATTTTCCAACATTTATTGCATCCAAATACAAAGGAAAAAAGAAAATGAAAAAAACAAGGGGAGAAAAAGAAGGGAAAGACAGTAGAACTTGTCATATATGTTACAGAGTTTCATGATATAAGCAGAGACAGAAAGCGACCGACTTTCAATCAAAGCATGGCTCAATAGTACCAATTATATGTATCTAATAGCAATTAGACAAGGGATCAAGAACTGGGTACTCACGAGAACCTCACCCTATGGAATTGCCTGCTAGGCGTTTGTTTTATTGCCTAAAAGAAGTTTTGCTGTTGATGAAAAGAGCACTGCGACAATGGACGGATGGCGGGTACTCACGAGAACTTTACCTCATAGAATTGCCTGCTAGGTGTTTGTTTTATTGCCTAAGAGAAGTTTTGCTGTTGATGAAAAGGGCACTCCGAATATGGACGGGTGGCGCGTCATCCAACGTGTAATCTCGTAATGTTCGTTGTGCTATATGAAGAGGCCTGAAGTTGGGCAGTTGACGCCTTGACGGTGAAATGTCATCTGGACACTATGGACCCATTTTGCTGAGAAAAAGTTAAAAGCCCAATTGCCCATATAATCATTTCTCAGTTTTTTGATTTTTTTTTTTTCTTTCTTCTAAAGAAAAAGGATTTATGTGCAAACCAATTACAACCAGTCTGACCATTCAAAAAAATGATATACGGTAGTGTTTTGTAGTGTGGACAACAAAATACTTATTATTGGATGGATAGTGTTGCACCCATTATTAAATTTTTTTATTATGTAATAGTTAATATTTTATTAGTGTAGTCTAACCGCAAATCACTGCAGAAAAATTTGTTTTGTCTTTGTTCAATCAGTCCCAGAGAATAAACTATCAATTGACATAATAAGAAGATGACAAAAATACATTTAAATTAATAATAATTTTACCTCAACTTTAGGAGTCTACCTTAATTAATGATTATAAAATAAGTTTAACAAAGATTTTTATTTTTTATTTTTTAGTTTTTAGGTAGGAAAGCTTCCCCAGGACACAGAGAAAGGGATTGAAGAAGGCACGGCATTGGGCGGCACCAAGGACATAACAGCAAAAACTGGCATCTTTAGACTTTAGGAGCAAATTTCATATCAACACACACAAAAAAAGAAAAAATAAAAAAGTAGACTTTGTCAAATGATGACGTGACCTCCATCCCCATCTTCCCACTTCATCTCCATTCCCTCAACCATCATCAACACCTCCAATATTCCAAACTCATCGGAGGACAACAATTTTTATAAAGAAAAGCCTCTGCCTTTTTCATTTGTATATGTAAATTCTTTATTTTTAGTTGATGGGTATGGGTATAATTTGTAATGGTGGAGGAATCATGAATCAATGTTGAGATTCTGAGTGGTGGGAGGTTTTTCGGTTTTCTTATTTCTTTGCTTTTGTTATTTATAGATAATAATCACAATATTTAATTGAAAACTAGTTATTATTGGGATTTAACAGCCAATTAATAATGGGTAATGTGAATGGTAGAGAAGATGAGAGTAGCAGCCCATCCGGGGTTGAGGAAGAAGGAGGTGGTAACGGTGTACAGGAAGGCATGGCTGCACCCATGGGTCACTCCCCACCTCACAGCCCCAGAGCCACCCAGTCCCCTCTCATGTTCACTCCTCAGGTAAATCTTCCCTCCCCCACTTTTTTTCTCCCCTCTTTTTCTGGGTGAAATTGAAAGCACTTTCCTTTCGCTTTTTGTCTTTCTTTTTTGGTTTTGGTTTGGAGGATTTGTGTTTCATGTGAGGAGCTGTAGATTTTATTTTTTATTCAGCCCCTGAATATGAGAATATCATGGTACCATTTTGTTCTTTTGTAAAATTTTGTTTAGGGTCCTGAGTTCTTGTTGTAGAGAAAACAGAAAACCATTGTGTCAGCTAACCCAAAATTTGTTGGAAATTTTCGATCTTTTGGGTTGCATATTGGTTCAGAATCATTTTTGTGCATTTAAGGAGATCCTATTGGATTTTGGTGTTTCAAACATCTGCATTATTTTTTGGAAAGAAGGAAATTGATTGAGGTCTTGGAAACCGCTTTAAGGCCACAGGAAAATGACCATTTAAGTATGAGCTTGTTATTTGATTCTGTCCAGGAAATACTGTTACTTAATAAGGTATACTTGAGTGGCGTATGATTTTCCCCTCTCTAATCTCCTTCATGTGCCTCCCCAATATTTGACTCACAGATTTGGATGAAAATCTCTTGATTTTATGTTATTTCGATTCTTATCATGATTCCAATCTAGGTTTGCTGTTTTTGATGTTTAGGATTAAGAAAGGAACCTATGCAGTAGGCTTCTGGCAGGGTTCTTGCTTGATTGCAAGACTTAATGGATTGGGTTTTCAGTTTCTGTCGTTAAACTTATACCAGAGTGGCATATGATTTTCCTCTTTCTCATCTCCTTTATTTGCCTCTCAAATATATATTTGGTTCATAGCTTATGATTTTGTAACCCTTATCCTTTGGTTTGCATTACTGTAGGAAGCACTAACTTTGTTTGCAGCTGCATGTGAGGAAGTTGCTTGTTGCAAATCTCTTAATTACAAACAAAAGCAGTAAAGTTAACCCAACTGAAATAAATGCATCTCATGCCATGAATTGGGTATAACAAGTAACAACTGGTTGTGAAAATGCATAATCCTGTGGAAGATAGTTTTTTTGAGTTAATAACCTTGAATGTATTTGCCTTTAGTACTTTGAAGTATGTATATACCTATTATTGTTTCAAATGTCTCTTCATGTGATTTAGTGAAATATCATCAGATGTCTGTATTCTGTTTTTACAGGTTCCAGTGATTCCATTGCAACGACCTGATGAGATGCACATCCCTAGCCATTCATGGATGCAGTCCAAAGCAGGGTATGAAGATGTATCCAATGAACAAGGAATTCCAACAATGATTACATGGAGCTATGATGGGAAGACTGTAGCTGTGGAGGGATCATGGGATAACTGGAAAACAAGGTTTTATAAATTTAATTCCTTGTTCCCTTTCTTTCATTTCAAGGAAAAATTAGTGTTCTCTATGAATAGCCATCTACATGTCTTACATATAACTCCTTTGCTATGTTAATCAGAATTCCTTTGCAGAGAAGTGGAAAAGACTTTACCATTATGAAAGTTCTGCCATCAGGTGTTTATCACTACCGGTTTATTGTTGATGGGAAATGGAGGTATTCCCCAGACTTGCCCTTGGACCGAGATGATGTGGGTAATGCTTACAACATTTTGGACCTACACGTAAGTCTTTTGTTCTTCTTCTTCCTTTTCTTATTTTTAGTATTTTGAATATACTTGTGTGTCTCTTGTGCTGGATAAGTGTAATAGTCATATTTTATGGCTTTCTCATCAAAATTCTATCCGAGTGGAGATTAGTTTAAACCTCAATTATAGGACTCGGGTTCATTATCCATACATGTTGCTTGGGCTTTGGATGGTATTTATTTGCAGTGTTGTCAATGGTGGCTGCTGTATAATGGAATATGAATAGGGATGCCAAAACTCTTATGGCGGCCACTATTGTCTTATTTGACTTTTGCATTCTATTTTAGCATTTTATTTTCTTGGTAACTTGTTGATTTTATGACTTTATTTGCTTGAAATTTTAGTTGTGTGATTTTTCTTAACTTTTATAACATATTAGATATTCTGTGTTTGTCCTACTAGGTTTATTTGTTATTTTATTTATTAAATTTATATTTTTTGTTTTCTAAATGGCTGCTATTTGGCTATTGACACTGTGACGTTATTCACTATGAATTCAAAGCAGAATTTGGCCTTTCTGCTATTTGCTGCTATCTACAATTGATAACACTGTTTGTTTGATAGTGCCCATGTCTTAGACATGGGCCAATTCTTGTTATCATTAACACTTGGCCTTGTACTACTTTCTTTGTTTTTCCTTTGAAAACCACCCTGTACCACTTTCAGTTTCAGAAAACATTTGACCAATGTGGATCTAACCACTTCTTTTCAACATATGGCCATACTGTTTAAGATGACCTTTTTGTGTTGTCCTGAATTCATGCTACGTCTCTTTGCAGTGGTTGTATCCTTTTATATATATATATAGACACACACTTTAACAAGATTAACTTTCATCAATAAAGAGGACATGGTGGTTTTATATTTAGGGATAAAGGAAGATATGACATCATTAGAGTTGGTTTTGGAAGGTGATAAGCTAACACTACAAATGACTTGAACACGCACCTGGCACAATATACATATCAGCCCCACATGAATGGACATGCATGTGCCTAGCCTTTAGGTTTCCCAATATCTGAACATGGGACAACATAAGTGGATCAGGCCACATTCTAATTCAGAGAGTGTTTTAGATTGCACTGTAAAGGCTGGAGGCTCTATTGCTTCTTCTGTCCCTCTTTGTGTTTATATCTCTATTTCTATAAAAGCTTTCTGGTTGCTATTCAGATCAACAAAGTGTGGACTCAGTTAATGAATTCTAAACTATTGCTGCATAGCTTTAACACACTGTTCTATGTAGATGCTGCAAATATTTACAAATAATGATTTTCATTTTACATATTGCAGCAGACTGCAAAACAATTAACTATTGATGGAGGGGTGGGCTCCCAATATTAGGGGGCCTGCCCCCTCCATCAATGGTTAGGTTTTTTTTTTTTTTCTTTTTTTGGCCAGCTGGTTAAGTTCTTTTTAATCAGATAAGCTTGCCTATATGTTAATAAAATTATTACTATTTTCTATCCTCATTTTCTTGTTGTCTCTCTGTAATCAATTCTTTATTACTTAAATGTTCTTTTGGCACATTAGAAGTTAGCTGCATAACATTGCAAAGCCTTGAATCCCTGACCTTGACACCAACTTGGGTAAGCTCTTGTTGGTTCCTTTAATAATTTTTTATTTATGCAGTTTTGTGCATATGTTAGTTTCTACAATTTTTTGATGTTATTTTGTTTGTTAAGCTGATGGGAGTTAAATTCACTGAAACAGGCCATGACATAACTGATGCATTTTACAACCACTGTTGAACTTTGGGATAGATGTTAGGGAGACTTCTCTATAAAATGTGAAATTCTCTGAAATACCCAAATCACTTAGCAACACACCCTGGGTGCAACACTACAGCCTTTTAGGTTATGGTGTGAGGTGATTTTAGTCGTAACATAGTGCATAATGATGCAACTGACCATATCAAAGTTGAATATATCTTCTTCTATACCTTGCTAGCACAACTCTGGATGGCATAAATTTTTCTTCACACGTGCTAAGTTGCCTAATTATATGATTTTAATACTCATCTTGAGAACCTTTTTCATGGAGGACATCTCTTTTTTATGATAAAATGAAGTTTTCAACTACTT